TCAAAGAAGATTTCATTCTCTTCTTTGGTAAGAGCGTAACTTGCATGACCCTGATGTATGCCGTCTTTTCCGTGCATACGTTGATGGTCCTCTCGTGCCTTAGGTGTATCTTTTGTCTTCCCATACACGTCCAAGAAGCCAAGTAGGTTCACACAAAGATTCTTCGTCACGTGCATCACGTCTATTGCGGAGCGGACCTCTAGGTCTTTCCAATAGGGCAGGTCCCAAAATATAGATTTCTTCTTCCACATGGGTGCACGTCCGTCAGCGTCATTCGAAACAGGTTGTCCACCAGGATCCTTTCCAAAGACCACCTTCAAATCCTTGACCATATCATGTACATCAGACCAATACGGTGGCGAGGCTTCGTCCGGTGATCCGCCTCACCTTTGAAATGCTTGCCTTTCTTTCTTACGGGATGCCTGCTCGGAAGAAATCGACGATGTCCCAGGTACACATTCTTCTTACAATTAGCCAAATATACACTGTCGGTATCGTCCAAACAGTGCGTGCATGTGCGGTATCCCTTGTTTGTCTGTCCTGAAAGGTTACTGAGAGCAGGACAATCATTGATGGTCACGAACAGCAACGCCTTTAGGTCAAATTCTTCCCCCATGTGCTCATCCCATGCACGTACACCTGTTCCATTCCACAGTTGTAAGAGTTCTTCAACTAATGGCCTTAGGTACACATCAATGTCGTTGCCGGGTTGCTTAGGGCCTTGGATGAGCACTAGCATCATAATGAACTTCCGCTTCATGCACAACCAAGGAGGAAGGTTATAAAAACATAGAGTCACGGGCCAGGTGCTATGGTTGCTGCTCTGCTCCCCAAAAGGATTAATGCCATCTACGCTTAGACCAAACCATACGTTCCTTGCATCATCTGCAAACTCCTTCCCGTACTTTTTTTCGATTTTTCTCCACTGCGACCCGTCAGCGGGTACTCTCAACTTTCCATCTTTCTTACGGTCTTCTCTGTGTCATCGCATCGCCTTGGCATGCTCTTTGTTTTGGAACAAACGTTTCAACCGTGGTATTATAGGAGCATACCACATCACCTTGGCAGGAATCTTCTTCCTGGGGCGCTCGCCCTCGACATCACCAGGGTCATCGCGGCTGATCTTATAGCGCAGTGCACCGCATACCGGGCAAGCGTTCAAATCCTCGTACTCACCGCGGTAGAGGATGCAATCATTAGGGCATGCATGTATCTTTTGCACCTCTAATCCTAGAGGGCAGACAGCCTTCTTTGCTTCGTACATACTCTCGGGCAATTCGTTGTCCTTTGGAAGCATATCCTTTATCATTACCAGCAACTTTCCAAATCCCTTGTCAGATACACCATTCTCTACCTTCCATTGCAGTAATTTCAGTGTGGTGCCCAGCTTTTTCTTGTCACCTACGCAATTCGGGTACAACAATTTTTTGTGATCCTCTAACATGCGCTGCAACTTCTTCTTCTCCAAATCACTTGCGCAGTTTCTCTTTGCATCGGCAATGGCCCGACCTAGATCATCAATGGGCTCATCCGATGCCTCTTCTTCAGCTTCTTCCTGCATTGTCGGCTCAGCTTCTTCCCGCATTGCCGGCTCAGCTTCTTCCCACATTGTTGTATCATCGTATTCAGGGAACCCATGGCCAGGATAGCTGTCGTCGTCCTCTTCTTCTTCATTGTCTTCCATCATAACCCCTCTTTCTCCATGCTTGGTCCAAACATTATAGTGGGGCATGAAACCGGACTCGAACAGGTGGACGTGAATGGTTCTTGATGTAGAGTAATTGCGACCATTCTTACAGCCAGCACATGGACAATGCATAAAACCATCCGCTCGCTTGTTTGCCTCAGCCGCAAGTAGAAAAGTACGCACGCCATTAATGAACTTGGGAGAGCATCGGTCATCGTACATCCATTGCCGGCTCATCTTTAATACACAGCATCGAAAACATTAAATTAATACAATACATAAAGTTCATACATAAAGATCATACAACACTTAAATGCAACAAACAAATAACTCTCTAGCTAAAGAATTTAAATGCAACAACAAATGCGATCAAGATCGCAACTAAGGTAACAATTGATCCAACAGCATAATGATACCAAGCCTCACTATGAATGGCATATTTTCTAATCTTTCTAATCTTCAAGCGCATTTTCTCCATCTTAATATTGTGATCATCGACGACATCGGCAACATGCAACTCCAATTCCATCTTCTCCCCCTCAATTCTTTTCAATTTTTCCTTCAAATCCTCGTTTTCTCTTTCAACTAAATTTAACCTCTCGACAATACGGTCGGTTAGAATTTCCGGTTCAACTACCTCCTACATACAAATATCTATGTCAACTTGATGGGCATAATTTGTCATAAACACGAAATGCAATGAATAGTTTTAAAAGAGAATACACCACATCCGAATCATAACCCGGACGGGGGCCGACGGGGACGGATATCAAAACCATGGCACTATGTATAACAAACAACGTATGAGTAAGATAATTATACGAGTAACTATATATCCAAATCACACAAACATCAATTTTTTATATAAAACTTCATGAACAAGAGGCTCACCACAAGGTGGTGCCGGCGACGGGACGTTGCGAGCGATCGACGGTGGTTACGACGGAGATTTAGAAGGTACTAAGTAAACCACACCTACATATGCAAAACTAAGTGTTATTTTTGACCTCAGATTGCATATAAATCAAATACTAGCACATAATATAATTCCTCCCAAATTACTAAACTCAAAAATCAATCACTATATAAAGCATTGCACGAGCTAATCTAGCAATGAGAGATGAAAGGAAAAAGTTGCTAACTTTTGTGATCATTTGAATGGATGGGGGCCTTCAAATCTTGGGAAAAATGTGTGATGAGCTTGAGAGGAAGAGGGAAAAGAACAGAGAGGAGAGGGGAAAGGGGAAGAACAGAGCGAGCTCGGGTGGACGAAGGGTCTATGTAGGACAACCTTTAGTACCGGTTCGTGATACGACCCGGTACTAAAGGTGCTGAAGGGGCCCCGGACTGACAACATCCTGCCACCATTCACTTTAGTACCGGTTTGTGGCACGAACCGGTGCTAAAGGTTTGCCACGAACCGGTACTAATGAGTGCGGCCCGGCTAGCCGTTGGAACCGGCACTAATGTACACATTAGTGCCGGCTCAAATTCAAACCGGCACTAATGTGCTTCATGTTTGACCCTTTTTCTACTAGTGCATGTGGCCAAGTCTGATGGTGTGTGTGTCTGTACTAATAGACCTGTCCTCTGTTGGGCACGATAGGGAATGAAACGTCTGAATTATTCTCATCTCCTTCTCCTACCTCACCCACTCTATGTTCTTTTTTTGAGCCCCACGCCGATCCCCTTCTCTGTTGCGACGATCTTCGTCGATCGGTCGTCACAATTGTTATCTAGAGCCAAAAAAATCTTCCCCGCTGCCAATCCGCGTCGTCGCACCCACATCCTCTTGGCTGTGTGAAATCACTCCGGTGAGGTCGCTCGAAATCCTACACGGGGCTCGATCTGCTCACACTAGTAGAAAACAGGGCTTTGGTTGAGGCGAGAATAAGGGCATTAGTCCCGGTTCACTCACAAACCGGGACCAAAGGGGGCATGAGTCCCAGTTCATGAGGCTAGGGCGCCGGCCGGGCCTCGGAGGCCATTGGTCCCGGTTCGTCTGAGACCTTTGGTCCTGGTTCCAGACATGAACCGGGATCAAAGGGCCTCGCTCCTGACGCACCCCGTTTAGTCCCATCTTGTGGCTGGAACAGGGACTAAAGAGCTATAACTAGTATTTTTCAATTTCAGGGTCATTTAGCTAAAAAATCAGTAAATGCAAGAAAAATAACAAATGAAGTCAAGAAGGGTTAAAAATTATTGATGTGGATTTGAATGGTGCATGTTGAACACAAAAAAGTCTGGAGTTGAAATAAGTTAAAGAAAATGAAATGCCTTTGTAACATACGAGTTTTCATCAATGTTTTAAATAGCGGGCTATGATATATAGCGGCAACCCTTAAAAACAGCTATAGCGGGCTATATCGAGGCTATAGCGGCAAATTTTACATGAAATCATTTAGCGGCAGCATGCTCAAACAGCTATAGCTATAGCCGGCTATTTAAAACTATGGTTTTCATCCGAAACCCTGATACTTCGAAAGAGATTGTCCATTTTATACACAAAGTGCATCTAGTTTTTGTCGTAACCCTCTCAACTTTTTAGCACATGCTATGTGGGTGAAATGATGATACCATGCCAACTTTCAACCTTTTCAAAGTTCATTTGTACTGCTTTTCAATTTCAGGGTTATTTAGCTATAAAAATCAGTAAATGCATGAACATAGAACATCAACAATATTCAAAAGAACATATCAAAAGAACATAGAACATCTTAGTATGAAAACCTCCTCAAATAAAATTTATCATTGATATAAACAAAACATATTCACCACTCGCAAAACATATCAATAAAAATAGCTTCTTCTTTTTTTCATTCATGACAGGTACCATGAAAACACCATTGTTTGCTTTAATAATTCTTTACATACACATTTTTAACGAAGAACAATGGTCAAATTTTTCAGTATTGTCGACCATATCTCATTGCCCAGATCCTCGTATATTCCCAAACAGAGGAGCAACTAATAACAATTTGCACGGCAAGCATCACCACCAACACCATGATTCCAACAATTTTATACTACTAGAATTGAAATACAATATTATGCCATGATCAGATCGGTCTCCAAGGCCGGGATATGCTCCCTGTTGGCCAGGGAGATCTATCCACCACCACATTCGCCGCTGCTTTCGGTGGAGCACATGATCCTCCTTGTCTCTCTGTCTATCTGTCTCCATGCCACTGAAAGTTTTTCCTCTCCATGATTGTCACTCTCATTTGTTAAGGTGGTATGTTATGTATCGTTGTGGGAGCACATGCTGGGGGGATCGAGGATCGAGACTCGATCCCCGGCCATGTGAAAGTCACTAGGCTCTGTACTCGTCGCCGCAGTCTCCGATGACCTCCATCAGGTTCCTGCCCCGCTGCGACGCCTCGGTGATGCTGCCCATGTCCTCCTCGTCCAGCAGCAGCGACAGGATGGCGTTGGTGTCCCTGATGTGCTCCGACAGACCCAGCCTCACGCCCACCATCGAACCAGCCACCGATGTCTGTCCCCAAGAACAATCACAGTGTCAGCAGTCATGAGTTATGGCGAATATCATGAGCAAACAGAGATGACATGATAGATCTCGAGGCCAATACAATGAAGATATTCCTTTTCCAGAGGGAGAAATGTACGATGAAGATGTGGAGGAAGATGGAGGATTACCTGGTTCAGTATGTATCGTACAGCGACAGTTGAGATCGGGATGCCGTGTTTCAGTGACACCTTCTTCAAGGTCTGGAGCAGAGCCTGGAACAGGCTCCAGCCACCCCAAGCGTCGATCATCTGTCGTACGTTCAACAATGAGAACAGCAAGAGAAGACCGGAAGGTGGGCAACACGTTGAACTGAAAGGATTAAGAAATTCTCACCCTCTTATACTTCTGCAGGGATGGGGTATTCAGAGGAGGTCCAGCAAAAGGTATGTTGATGTTGGTGTCGAGGAACTTCTCGGACAATAGGCCACCCATCACCGTGCCATACCTGCATCCAAGAATAATCTCCTAAACTTCAAGCAATCCTGTACTCAAGGAGAAGAACAAAAAGGGATGGAGGGGAGGGAGCAAACGTGATAAGCTTGACTCCGGTAAGCTCACAAAGCTCTGCCATCTTTTTCTGCGGGCGCATATCCACAATAGAATGTTGAACCTGGCAATTACAACATCTCTCCTTATTTTATCTGAGGACCATATGATCATCGACAGTAGTAATGGAATATACATCATGCATGAGGTAAGTAAGCAGTCATATAAATACCTGGTTGCTGACAATTGGTATTCCATTTTCTAGGATTATTTGCAGCCTCTCTGTATCGAAGTTCGTCAGAGCTACAGTCTTTATCTTGCCTTCAGAATTTCCATAACAGAAAAGGGCATGATGTAAGAGTTCATTCACAGTAAAAAACCACAAGAGTGTAAGAGATGAGTACACAAGTGAACTATTATTATCCAGTCAAGGTTCAAAATATTACCTTCCTCCTTGAGGTCGGTGATGTGCTTTAGTGCATCTAGATATCCGGGATTTGCGTAGTCCCACCTGTTTTGTGATAAAGGGTCAGAAAAATTAGCACCTGTGGCAATAGTTATATGATGCAATTGTTCCGAGCATCCTCCCGAAAAAAAGTACTCAACGGGGTCAAAAGCTTTAAAGAAAATAACACTTCTCATGTTTGGGAGTTTACTGAATGTGCCAAAATACTGAAACTGAGTTATAAACTTGACAGGATGTTCACTGCTGATTATCAACAGAGATCCATTTCCAAATTTCATCGAAGGCTTCACTTTGCAATTTGCATTGACAATGAAGATGAAATGGTACAAACACATTATGATACCAAATCAGCAAGCCACACAAGCATACCAATGGAACTGCAGCATGTCCAAGGCAGCGACATCCATCCTCTTCCGGGACCTGTTGATGTTCTCCTCAACAAAGCTTCTTGTCATGTTAACAGGTGGCGGCACCCACTTTGTAAGCCTGCACATACATTTTAGCGACAGTCAGAAGGCAGCAGCAGGAAAGTCTGCCAAGGCTGCGTCTTGGTGGCACCAAGACTGTGACAAATTATTCGCTCACCCCCTGACTTCTTCTAGCATCTCCGGCGGGCGCTCGCGCCGAACTTTGTTGATGAACATGCCGTATAAATCCTCCGCCGGTCCATCTGCCAAGACAGCAATCATGTTTTCATACCAAGTCGGTAATATGCTCCAGTGAAGGAAAAAAAATGGAGACTATCATCTCATGTATCAACATTTAACGCTTTCACGGCCATTATCTGCAGCTCGTAATAACACAGAAACAGAGCACACTACATACACAGCCTCCTGCTCCAATCAAACCTGTCATGGGCCAGAATGCTGATCAGGCTACGGCATCACTGTCACTCTGTCAGGAAAACAGACACACAAGCAGAGGAGGTTTTCTCGACGTCCAGCAAGGGTAAGTGTGCCCGAGTCAGTGGACAGGTTAGCAGGCAATGGCGTTCGAGTAAGCACAGCTGGTTTCCTGGATGTGTTCCGGTGCCAGCGTCGCGTGGGTGTTGGGTTTATAAACTCTGAACCTGTATCCCCTCTGCTTCTATCTAACCACTACTGCTACAACTCTGCCTGACACTGAAACTGTAATTCTGTTCTTCGGTTCTATCCTGTGCTCTATCTGCTCCAGCCTAACTGATGCTGTTTATTTATTTTGAAGGAAAATCGCAGCTTCAACTTACAATGCATCAATTTTTCAAGAAGCAATCAGACGGCATCAAGCAAGCCCACTAGCGTTAGACATACAGTAGCAATTTATCCGTAGGAAACGAGGCCCGATGTACATGCACCCTAGGTGTTCGCGCAAATTCCTAAGAGAGACTGCACACGGAGAGATGGGTGGGTGGGTGGGGGGCTACGGACAGTGGTCGGCCATGTCGAAGGTGGAGAGGCCGGCGTCGGCGTAGGCGAGCATGGCCTCGACGGCGTCGGCGCGGTCGATGCGGCCCCACCCGCCGCTGGTCTGCCACATGCCGTTGAGCACCCGGCAGATGGCCAGCGACGAGTCGGTCCCGCCGCGGCTGCTGGCGAGCGTCGCCGCCCTCGCGCCCGGGGACGCCGACTCCACCGCCGGGCCCACGAACCCCGCGCACCTCGCGGGCCGCACGCGGCGCGGGGAAGGGGGCGCCGGCGAGAGCGCGCGGGCTGCTGACGACGACATGGCTGGCACGGGCACGGGCACGAGCCAGCGTTGGCGCGCGCGCGAGAGAGATAAGGCGCTCGTGGCTTCAGACTTCAGTACAAAGAGAGAATTTTTTTTTTTTGCGGGTAACAAAGAGAGAAATTAACTTGTGTAAAAAAAAGAGAAATTAACTTGTGTAAATTACTCTTAGTGACTTGGTCTAAAAAATTACTGTACTTAGTGATTAACATGACACGCAGGACAAAACCTAGTCGAGAAAACCTAGAATAAATCCGTGTCTTTTGCCATCGACAAAACCATGCCCCAGAGTTTCCAAGACAAAGCTACAACGTGACGAGGACCGCCTTTTGAAAAGGGTTGCAAGTCTACCATATCCGTACAGAATAACTTGTCGCATACATTGGCATAAATACGTCCGGATACATCTATTTCTGCGGCAAGTAATTCCGAAAAAAGGTTACTTGCAGTGCAAAGCAATACAAAGATGGTTATATTTGGGTTTCTAAACCACTAAAACGATCGCCGATGTCTACATAATAAGCCATCTGACATGTCATTGCCGTTGCTCCTCTACCGGAGTCGAGTTTAACCTTACCGATGACAATCGAAAAGTTTTTTTGCACGTACCTGTAAGTGCCATTAAAAGAATAGGATTTGTTTTGCACGTACTCGTAAGGGCCATTGAAAGAAGCGCCCGGCATTAGATCTCACCGTAGTGTACGCCCGGCGAAACCGTAGTTACTCATCTCAAAACAAGTGCCGTTGGTTTAGTATAATTTCGTATTAACTTTGTAGTCTCTCCGTTTCCTGAATATAAGACCTTTTAGAGATTTGAATATAGACTGCATACAAAGCAAAACGAGTGAATCTTACGCTCTAAAATATGTCTATATACATCTGTATGTAGTAGTCAGTGAATGAAGGGATTAGTTTTTTCTCCTTGAAGATTATAATGTAAGTTAAGCAGATGGCGACATAGTTGAAGCAAACTCTGTTGCTAAGCCAAAATGAAGAGGCCAACGAAGGGACGGCCATTTCGGATTTAATTTGCAAAGCATTGGGTTTTTCTTTCTTCGCAAACCGAAAAAAGATGGATATTCAGAGGCATTAAACACAGTTGGGCACCGCAACTCAAAATCGCACGGAAAATAGACGGAACGAGCGGCCGTGAGCCACGAGCGTGTGCGCACGCGGGACGCGGAAGCCTGATCCAGAGCGTGCGGAGGCGAGGCGATCCTACTCACAGATGTCGGCCATGTCGAAGGTGGCGAGCCCGCCGTCGGCGTAGGCGAGCATGGCGTCCACGGCGGCCGCCGGTGCCGCGCGGCCCCACGACGCGCCGCTCACCTGCCACATCCCGTTCACCACCCGGCACACCTCCAGCGCGTCCCCGGACGCCTTGCTCCTCACCGTCGCCGTCTTCCCCTTCCCCTCCTCCAGCCCCGACGCGCCCATCGCCGCCGCCACGGTGCACCTCCGTCTCCTCCCCCTCGCAGGCGCAAGTCGAGGAAGACCGGCGATCACGGCGGTGGTGGCCATCACGGCGCCGGCACCAGAGCGGCCACACAAAAAGCATCCTCACAAAAAGCTTATGCCAACAAATGTGTATTGAACTGACCGTAGGGGTGCGGGCTTTATTGATTGAAATCTCAAAGGCGCGGAGAAACTGAGAGAGTATGTGGCATACATCCATCCATCACGATAGCATCGATCAAATTGTACTGTGCAGTGAGCTATGTGTTTATGTATGTATGTATGTATTTGCAAATCTAATGCCCAACGTGACACTTCAGCGGCACGGCCACATCAGATCTTGCTGGCGAACTGGAGGCCGGCGGCCTTGAGCTCGTCGGGGCTGGTGGCGGGCGGCTGGGCCCTCGCGAGCTTGGTGATGGCGGTGTTCTCGTCCGGCGACCCGCCCTCCAGGAACGCGCCCACGCACTTGCCGTCCTTGACCCAGTACGACCCGAACTTGGGTTTGGCGGAGCTGGGGTCGGCGTCGCCGAACAGGATGGCGTCACCGACGTTGTCCCCGTAGAACTGCCACGACAGGTCGAACGACCGCGAGTAGAAGTAGGGCAGGTAGTCGTACTCCTCCACGGCAGAGCCCGCCTCTTTCCCCTTGATCGCCTGGTGGAAATAGAGATGTGGTGTTGGTTGTTGCAGTTCAGAGGCCATATGGCGAAAAATGGAAGATGAAAATATGTCCTCACCTTCACGGCCTGCTCCGCGGACTTCCTGGAATGGTCGACATGCTCCACTCTCCTCTCGTCGTTGTAGATCTTCATCGGGAAGGTCGCCACGTCGCCAACGGCATACACTCCAGGGACACTTGTTTCGAAAAAAGCATCGGTCTGCACAAAATGTCGAAATTTGTTCAGGCGCATCAGACATTTGGGCATAAACAAGAACAAGCGAAAATGGAACTCAAGATGGCCCGGGTTGACAAACGCAATTGCTTAAAGGAGAAAATAGCACGCGCTGTGGCAGCCCAGCTGCCATTCTTGATAAGGGGGCATACAGCTGAAGAATCATATACACTTTCTTTAACTGGAACAACGACACAAACTTCTGCACCCATAAAGGGCAAGTTTGAAGCAAACTAACCTTGATTCCACCTTTCTCCTCGGCAACTTGGCCTTTGAAGAGAGTAGTCAATGGTCTGCCCCCAACACCGACGACAACAATATCAGCTTCGAGCACACTGCCGTCCTTTAGCTTAACTGCGGTCACCTGGCAGGCAGGAAACAAAGTGAAGCAAGTAAACACATGCACCCGCGATGGGCACAGTAGAGCTGAATTCAGATTTGGAAGCTGTACATACATCACCATTGGCGTCAGCATCAAAACCAATAGCAACTGTACCCTTCACGATCTTGACTCCTTTGTTGGTATAGTAACTCTCGTAGAAAGCTGCAATCTCGGCAGTGAAGAGACGAGGCACTACAAGAAACGAAATTATTGCGTTATACAGTTGTCAAAAACAGAAGAACCTTCTAATTATACTCCCTCCGTTCCATATTACTCGTCACTGATTTAGTACAACTTTGTACTAAATCAGCGACGAGTAATATGGAACGGAGGGAGTAGTTTGCTTCACATTATAACTGCATGCTAGTGGCATGAGGCAATGAGGCAAAGCTGAGGCAAAACATTAGTGATAGTATGTGAGTCATGGACACTTACTGCACCAAGGTTCAGGGAACACCATAGTCACATCAAGATCGTTCATCTTCAATACTGCGCTTAGTTCAAGGCCAATGTAACCTCCTCCAACAACCACTGCCTTTCCACCCTTCTTTGCTTGGATAGCTGCATACAGATTGTCCGCGTCGTCAATTTCCCTTAGGTACAGAATGTTGTTAGAATCAGCTCCTTGAGTGCCAAAATCAGAGAGCTTAATGACCTGAAAATCAAGTCAAAACATAAGTTTTACATCATAAGTAAAAGCAACAGCAGCTAGTAATTGATAATTCTTTTATAAGGTCCGAGGGCAACATTTTGTTCCATCGTATACCCTTCATGTACAAAACAAATTGCTGACAGTTCAAAATCAAAATAAGAAGTCAATGACACATACTGAGGAGCCAGTAGCAATTAGCAAGATCTCATATGTAAAGGTTGCTCCAGCTGCACTAGTCAGAGTCTTGGAAGCAAGATCAGCTTTCACAATTTCAGTGCTCAGGATAAGCTCAATGCCTGCCAACACATGAATCATGAATATGGTCAGATGCAAAATCATTACATTAAGAACAAACACACGGAATGGATACTCTTGCAGACATATATTGCTTTGTCAACCTAGTTCTCAAGAGGAAAATAGACCCTGGGAAAATCGTCTGCTGAATACTAACAAATTTTGAATAGGCCAGAATAGCTTGTCCAACATCATCTGAGATGGTTTGGGCATATCCAGCGCAGGCCTCCAGTGATGGATAAGTCTGTGTACTAGGGTCCTTGTGGGGCTGCAGCACATGGTCCTTGTGGCAGTTAGGAGGATAAAGTCTTGACCATCAAGGACTGTCAGTTAGCATCTTAGACTAGCATCTTAGACTAGCATCTTAGACTGGCATCTTAGCAGCATCTTAGCATATGCCTTGGCTGGCTAGCAGCCTATAAATATGTATCCCCAACCCCTCAGGTTGGTATGGCATTGTGTGAGAAATAAACCAACGAAAATTGTCCCAACTCTCCTAGTGTCATCCACAACTATCAATGCTCAGGCTGAAAGGTCTAACAAGTGGTATCAGAGCCAGGTTAACCTGCACCCTGAGCATTTCCTGTGAGCAGCCCAAGTCGGTAGCAGCAGCTGCTCCGTCTGCCTCTGGTTACCTTCCTCCCTCCGGACTGTCGAGCAGCAGCTCGTCTTCATCAGCCTCCTCTTCACGCAACAGCCCCCCTGCAGCGAGCCATGTCTGCAGGTCGCTCTCAGCACACGGCTACCTCGAGCATGCGGCGCCGGCAAGAGGCCGAGCGCGCCGTGGCAGAGGAGCGTGAGCGAGCGGCTGTAGCAGCGGCTGCTGCGGCGGCAAGAGTGTCGAGGCTGGCTGCAGCGGAGCTGGCAGCAGCCAGAGCGGAGGTAGAAGCAGCCAGGGCGGAGGTAGAAGCAGCAGCAGCAGCAGAAGCAGCCCGTGAGGCTACGGCGGATGCCAAGGCACTCCGCGGCAGCCCCGGCAGCTCCAGCAGCTCCGCGCCTGCGGACGACGGCGCCGACGCAGATCGTGCCAAAGTGGCGCAGGAGCGGACGGCGCAGTGGGCAGCCGAGCACGCCCGCGCTCCAGGTGGAGGCGCGCACCGCGACGGCGGCTGCAACGACCAGGACCGCGGCCTCTACGAGGTCCGGACTGTGGTCAGGGATGTTGGTTCCAGTGTTGGGTGGCCTACCCTCACTAAAACCAACTACGTCGAGTGGGCCGGGATCATGAAGGTCAGGCTCCAGGTGCGGCGCATGTGGGAGGCAGTCCAGGACAGCAACGTCGACCACCTAGAGGATCGACGGGCGCTGGACGCCCTCATCGCCGCAGTCCCGCCCGAGATGCAGTTCTCGCTTTCCAACAAGCGGACTGCCAAGGAGGCTTGGGACGCCATTGCCGCAGCACGCATCGGCAGCGACCGTGCTCGCAAGTCCACCCTGCAGGCACTTCGTAAGGAGTGGGAGAACCTGGGCTTCAAGCCAGGTGAGGACGTTGATGACTTTGCTCTCCGTCTCAACACTCTGCTGCAGAAGATGGTGAAGTTTGGCGATGCCACCTACACCGAGGAGAGAGCTGTCGAGAAGCTTTTTCGGTGCATTCCCGAGAAGTACAAGCAGATGGCTCGCTCGATCGAGTCGTTGCTGGACCTCTCCACGATGACGATCGAGGAGGCGATAGGTCGACTCAAGGTCGTCGACACCGACGAGCCACAGCCCCCCTCGGGGCCCGTCACCACCGGCGGGAAGCTGCTCCTAACTCGGGAGCAGTGGGATCCCAGCCTTGGTGACAAGAAGAAGGGGGAGCCTTCCTCCTCGACGGGCGGCCGCAAGCGTGGCAAGCAGCGTAAGGCGCGAAGAGGCCCCCCGGGAAGGGCACAAGGACGTGCCGAAGGTGACGCCCGCGGAGGCGCCAAGGACGGCGCCGCTGGCAAGCCCAGGCCGGCACAAGACAACAGTTGCCACAACTGTGGCCGGTTTGGCCATTGGGCCAATGAGTGTCGGCAACCACGACAAGGCCAGGCTCACGTCGCACAGGCGAAGGAGGAGGAGACGGCTCTGTTCATGGCGCATGCAAGCATTGAGCTACCCTCGGCGACTCCAGTCGCAAAGGCTTTCATCCACCTCGATGAGCCAAAAGCACATGCTCTTCTCGGCGATGGCTCCGGGAAGGACAAGGCTACGGGGTGGTGCCTCGACACCGGCGCCACCCACCACATGACCGGTCGAAGGGAATTCTTCGCCGAGCTCGACTCCGATGCGCGAGGCTCCGTCAAGTTCGGGGATGCCTCCGCTGTGGAGATAAAGGGCGTCGGCTCCGTCATCTTCACCACCAAGATGGGAGAGCACCGGCTGCTCACCGGTGTCTACTACATCCCCGCGCTAAGGAATTCCATCATCAGCTTGGGACAGCTGGATGAGAACGGCTCACGCGTGCTGATTGAGCATGGGGTCCTACGCATCTGGGATCGCCAGCGTCGCCTTCTCGCCAAGGTGCCCAGAGGTGAAAATCGACTCTACGTCCTTGATGTGCAGGTGGCACAACCGGTCTGTCTCGCTGTCCGTCGAGACGACGAGGCGTGGCAGTGGCATGAGCGCTTTGGGCACCTTCACTTTGAGGCCCTAAAGCGTCTAAGTGCCAAGGAGATGGTGCGAGGCCTGCCATGCCTCGACCATGTGGAGCAGTTCTGCGACATCTGCGTACTGACAAAGCAGAGACGACTCCCCTTTCCCCAACAGGCGAGTTTTCGGGCTAAGGAGAAGCTGGAGCTCGTGCACGGAGACCTGTGCGGCCCGGTGACGCCAGCCACACCAGGAGGTCGACGCTACTTCCTGCTGCTCGTCGACG